GAGACCTAGACGTAGATGGGAGGATAATATCAGGCGGGATCTATGGGAGATAGGAGTTGAAGGAGACTGGATTTTGTTGGCCCAGGACAGGGTCCGGTGGAGGGCTTTGGTTAATTCGGTGATGAACCTTCGAGTTCGGTAAGCCATCTAGTTGATTAGTTAGACCCGGTTCATCCACCCCTGGATAATCGGGAGTCAATTGGGTATTCTTCGTCCTAACGACTGTGGGATGCGGTCAAGAACAATATTTCTTTTTTAATTATACCACTATTTCCTTTCCATTTGTTCGGATAGTGGTGTTTCAACTATATAGACCTCGCCCCAAAGGCCGGCCATATTGAGTTTTTTCGAGGATTTCCACAGTCTCATCAGGAAAATGTCTATATAGTGTTTTAAATCAGTGGTATTCAACCTTTTTTGTTCTCGTACCCCCAGATATAATTTCTCTTCAACTTCGTACCCCCAAAGTTGTTGGTGTATAATTCAAGTTATACATAGTATATAATCCACATCTAAAATAAATTGAATAAATTACATTACTGATTATTCAGTGTTTATCATAAAATAATATATTTTTTTAAATTTCACGTACCCCCTAAGATGTCTTCGCGTACCACCGGGGGCACGCGTACCCCAGGTTAAACACCACTGGTTTAAATTATGCGACGACCGATTTCTTTCGCATTCTTTGTGATTAATTATTAGTTAATCATCCTATCATTAGGCGCTATAGCGTGTAGTCTGAGTAAGTAAAAGCCGCGTTAAGTGAACCATTGTACGAACTAACCGAAATTATATATCTTTCATTATTTTCCGTATTTCGAAATTCAAAAGTTAATGTGTGCCACAAGACTTCCGCACTAATGAACAGTGTGTGCCAGCTACGTTATATCTTCCTCAAAGAAAACACCACACTTCACCGTTACAAAGATCAACTGGTTAATCCTGTTTAAGGAAATAATCCCTGTTTACAGTGAGAATCTTACGAAACTCATATATACAAAATGAAGGGTTATTAATTTTTGATGCAGGTGGGGAGTATAGTTACCATTAGGCTTTAAAGGTTTGACGACGATGCTCCAATTACAAAAATGTTATTAGTCTGCAGTATGGAGTAAATAGTGAAGATATTCAGTTACCAGATCGGGATTCGATACAGAATGAATCCATCTGCAGTCTTGTTATTCCTTCAAAGTAAGACAAATGAACAGACATGCGCGTACATAATGTCAACATCCGGTGTAATTTGGCTTGTCTTTTGAAGCTGCGTATTATTAATTGCACAGAAGGCGCCGGTTTCGGAGACTTTGTCTGTGTAGGGTCACGGAGGCGTCTAATCTTGCACGATCCAGGGATCGAATCTGACTTAAGGCATGAAAATGTCATTGCTCATCATGGCAAAGACAGGGCTGCACAGTATACAGCACCAGAAGTATGAGTAGAATCTACTCAAGTCACGGACCCCATAGGCACAATTTTCGGGCCCTCTGTTGAGAAGTATTTTATGTCAAAGTCTCAGGATCCCATTTATGAAATTACTGAGCATACGCAACCCGTCAGAGAAAAGCAAATGTTAACCTCGTTTTTTATGGAACTCGATTGGAATTACGGTGTTCACAAAAATTTGCCAAATAATTCATCCAAGGCCCAAGCCTTTTATGAGACCTCGTAGCATTCTAATTTTCTGAGGTGAGGGATTATTAGCACCCAAACTGGATGATTATCCTGTATCACAGAAGGATGACATTGGACCTCATGGTCTCTTGGATTCGCCGAACAAACACATTATTTATTTGTGATGTATTTCAAATATTAATTTTAATATGTTTTCGGACTAAAATTTTGTATGCATTTTTGATCTCCCCCTTGTGGTTTGTTTTTTC